CTATCATCTCATTAACCTAGCTTTTATTCGCAGACTTGTTATGTTATTGAGCTCGCTAGACATTCTCCTACATATATGGTAGACGTACTCTGTCGATATATGCATATCGAGTTGCCAATAAGTAATCCCGTTACCAAATTATCTTATACTCTACCGTTACATACTTATAGTGATATTATTACACTTAGTATAATGTGATAAGATAATATCATGGTCACTACCACACCTGAATAGCACAGTGAAACTGTATTTGTTGAGTATGATCGCTAGACCTAGTAATATGTTCAAAGACACTTCATTGAAGTGTAGATGTGATTGAGGTAAACTCAGCAATCTAAGAAGAGAATAAAAGTAATAATCACAATATCACGAACGACTTTTATTAAGAAAACAATAATAATACATCATTTGGCAGGAAAACCAATATGAATATTACGTTTATATTGAAAATCAAGTCAGTCTTTCTTATAAGATTTACTCACTGTTTCATCACACTCAGTTTTATGTTGATTGTTCATTAGGGTGTGATCAATATCACCTATACAATCCGTAATTCCGACTGATTTTTATCAGTCAAGTATACAAATTATCTATTACTCCTATTGAAGGTCTACCGCTACCTGAACAGCTCAATCGAAATATCTGTGAATTAAGCACTGGTTGAATATCTGAAGGTATGTAGGGGACTAATATTAGAGTTCACTAACATTCCAAATATAAAAGTAATAATCCAAGTCAGTGGAGTGTTAAATCACAATATATTACCAAAAATACAGTGACGAGTTATAGCAACAAAAAGGATTACTTGGTTATAAAGTATAAGTCCTCGGCTACAAATTAATTATATAATCCACAGGCACGTTAACTGTTTGGACTGCGTCTGCTGTAGCTGCTGTGTTCCGGTTGTAGAAATGTCTTCGGTTGAAAGTAGTAGGCTCCTACAATAAATCCGAAGTATACAACACGGTGTGAGTGGAGCAAGTAAGCAGAAGGGACCAGGGAGAAGACGAAGTCTCCAACAGCAGAGTGTATTTTTCAATTGTACACGGAAGTTATGTATATTTCAACAAGAAGCGTTTTAAACAAAAATTATGTACAATATCTCGAATTTATACAAGTAACCAAAAAGTGTACAATCACATTGTTACGTACTCAACACGGCTCCCCCCTAGAGGTCCGGAGAGACAACCGGGAAATGATAAGTAAAACTATGAAGTAAATAATAATAGTAATAGCAACTTTTGGATAAAAATAGGGATATATTACAACATGCATAAACGCGAGAAGGTATGTGAGTCATGTAAAGTCTGAAAGCATATACAATTGGTTCAGCAATAAAAATTGAAAGAGAAAGTCATGTCACTTAAATTTGCACTAACCATGAACATAGATTTTTAATGTATAAAGAAAAATATGTAAATACACAGTAATTAAGGAGGGGAAAGAAACATTTAAAAAATATGGATTAAAGATCAATAGTTTTTGGAAAGGACACTACCTGTTTTTTCGGTGAGGTACATATAAATAAATAATAGTGATAGTAACATCAAAGTTTACGACGAAATACTAACCGTCATGATGATAATGTCTAAACGAAAAAGATAATAATAATTTTTAATTATTTTTCTTTTGTTAGTCCTCAAAATGAACGTAGCGAGCCGGTTTACTGATTTGCCGACCACTACGTGTGTGATATGGAGGGAGGATAAGACTTGGTGCCGGTGGAGGGGATTCGGATGTTTGATTATTTGATTGCGCAGCTGCCGATGTAGATTCGAAGTCGTTGTCGGTGTATGCGGGTTTGATTCGATCAATTGAAACAGTCTCTCGTCTTCCATTCTTGTTCACTGTAAAGTGTTTGTCTGAACGTTTAATAACTTGAAAGGGTCCTTCGTATGGAGGTTGCAATCCTTTTCTGATGGCGTCGACTCGAATGAAGACGAATTTGCAAGTTTGTAGATGTTTGTTGATCTGATCTCTTCGGGGAGATTGTCGAGGTGCTGTTGGTTGAAGTTGAAGCATTTGTCTAGTTAATCGGTTAGTGAAGTCGGCAATGTTCACGTCTGTGGAATCGGCTGAGGGGACTAGCTGTCCAGGCAAGGTTAGGTTGGTGCCATAGACAAGTTGAGCCGGTGTACATCCTAAATCTTCTTTGATAGTAGAACGGATACCAAGTAAAATCAAAGGTAAGTATTCACTCCACTTAGATGTATCATTCTGCGCCATCAGGGAGCTTTTCAGTTGTCTGTGGAATCTTTCCACTAGACCATTCGCTGCCGGATGATAGGCTGTTGTGGAGATATGTTTCACTCCCAGAAGTCTCGTCAGTTCGCGAAAGAGTGTCGATTGGAATTGAGGACCGCGGTCGGATGTAATAGTAGTTGGTACACCGTAGTTTGACACCCAACGGTCGAGAAAAACTAAAGCAACGTTTTCAGCAGATATGTCGTTTAAGGGGCATGCAATAGCCCAACGAGTAAATCTATCAATCGCTGTCAGGATATGTGTATATCCCCTTGATGTTGGCAATGGTCCCACGATATCTATATGGATATGCTGAAATCTCCTTTCGGGTAATTTAAACGTCTTCGGGGTTGTAATAGTGTGGCGGTGTACTTTGGAGCATTGGCATTGGATACATTCTCGTGCCCATCTCCGAATGTCAGAGTTCATTTTAGGCCACACGAAGCGTTCGCCGATCAGCCTGACCGTGGCGCGTACTCCAGGGTGGGAAAGCGAATGTAAATGTTCGAACAATGCTTTTCGGCAACTGAGAGGGACAAATGGACGATTAGTGCCGGTAGATACATCGCAGACTATGGTTGCATCCGATAAGGGGATAGGCACATCTTTGAGTTGTAAGGAAGAGTTTCTGCGGCAGGTTTGGAGTTCAACGTCATCTTTTTGTAATTGAGCCATACGATCAAGACTGATGTCTACCGACGTTTGGAGCTGGTTAATGTCACTTCTTGAAAGAGAATCGGCTACCACGTTCGCATCCCCTTTGATGTACTGAATGTCGGTTGAAAATTGGGAGATATAATCCAACTGTCTGGCTTCTCTAGGGGAGTGTTTATCAAGTGAAGTAGTGAAAGCATGACACAGGGGCTTGTGGTCAGTAAAAATAGTGAAATGCCGGCCCTGTAGTAAGTAACTGAAATGCTTCACTGCAAGATATATGGCCAGCAATTCTCTCCCAAAAGTGCTGTATCGTGTCTGAGCCGGTTCCAACTTCTTAGAAAAGAATGCGAGTGGGGTGACTTCGCCCTTCATCTTTTGTTGTAATACTGCCCCCACTGCTACCTGTGATGCATCTGTACATAAAATGAGTGAAGCTTCTGGGTTGATGTGAGATAACATTACGACGTTGGATAAGGCATCTTTTGCATTATTAAATGCTGCTTTTGCTTCTTCAGACCACTGAAATTTCTTCGAATTGCATCTAAGTAGGTCGGTCAGTGGCTGAACTATGGAGGCACATGATGGAATAAAACGTCGGTAGAAGTTGAACATCCCGAGAAAACGTCTAAGTTTCTTTAAGGAATCAGGTTCGGGAAAGTTCTTAATAGTTTCTATCTTATCTTCGGTAGGTCTGATGCCTTCGGCAGTTATTCGATGTCCTAAGAATTCAATGGAAGGGGAACCAAAAATACATTTCTTTGGATTGATAACAACTCCAAATTGTTCAAACCTTTGAAATAACAAGCTTAAGTGTTGCATATGTTCTTCCGTCGATGAGCTGGCAATTAAGACATCGTCGATATATACAAAGACGAAATCAAGACCTTGGGTAACTTGGTCCATAAAACGCTGAAATGTTTGAGCAGCATTCTTTAGTCCGAAAGGCATTCTCAAGAATTCGAATAATCCAAAAGGCGTAATAATTGCTGTTTTTGCAATGTCTTCTGGAGCGACTGGTATTTGATGATATGCCCTCACCAAGTCAACTTTAGTAAAAATGGTCTTTCCATGTAAGGTCAAGGAGAAGTCGTGGAGATGAGGTATAGGATAACGATCTGGTACCGTAGCGTTATTCAAAGCGCGATAATCTCCACATGGTCGCCAGTCATGATTAGTTTTAGGTACCATGTGCAGAGGTGAAGACCATGGGCTGTTAGATGGTCGTATGATACCTAACTGCATCATATGTTCAAATTCCGACTTAGCTGCTGCTAGTTTATCGGGTGGTAACCGTCGTGGACGTGCCTTCACAGGTTGTCCTGTTGTGATGATTTTATGCGTAACTGTATGAGATATATCTTCGACATTGTATGATGGTTTAAGGATTTTAGGAAATCGTTGCAATAAAGCAGAGAACATTTCACTCTCCGGCTTTTCTATGCAGATGCTATGAACAGAGTAGTCGCATGTAATACCATGGATCTTGAGTTGGGTGCAATTGTCAACCAGTTTTTTCTTGCTGATATCAACCAACAGATTGAAGTGACTTAGAAAGTCTGCACCTAGTATAGCGTGACGTACGTCAGCTACTATGAAGATCCATGTGAAACGTCGGCGTAGTCCCAAATTTAAAATCATTGACTGTTCGCCATACGTCTGTATGTTGGTTTGGTTGGCAGCACGGAGTGAAAGTTTTCCAGGTATTTTGGCTGATCGCCTGGATAGTGAGGGGGGGATAACACTGACCTCGGCGCCTGTATCTACCAGGAATAATGTGCCGGTAGTCAAATCCCTCACATAAAAAAGGCGACTGTGGTGATTGCCAGTAACAGCTGTCGCCATCACTGTCTGGCTGAGGCGTTTCCCTGAGCCTGGTTGGCTTCGCTAAAGCTGCACGGTTTTACACATTTCAGGGCATGACGTCCAAACTTCCAGTGATACCAGCATATATTGCTATCCCGAGAAGACGTGTAAGAACGCTGTCGTGAGAAGGATCGTCGTCGTGATGGTGACCTTCTCTGTGAGCTCCGTCTCCGGACTTGTCGATCAGACTTATTAGTTTCCAAATTGTCAATCCTTGCCGCTAAGTCTGCAATGGCGGCGAGTATCGGTGTGTCTGCCGTGGGTGTGGAATGACACGGTGTGGCACTATCAGATGCTACGTGACTTATGGTGTTATCGGATAAAACATCCAAAATACTATCTGCCATGTCACTTAGTTGGTCTAAGTCATATGACTTTCCTGAGATGATTAAAATTTGCTGGACATTTCTAGGTAAACGTTGCAACCACATCTGTTTCAGCACGACCTCGTCTACTTTATGATTTCCGATTAACTGGCGCATGTGCCTGAGTAGCTGGGATGGTTTACGTGGGCCTAGATCACAGCCTGTGAGCAATTGTTGGATTCTTTTCTCATCCGACAGACTGGTACGTTGTATGAGGAGGGCTTTAAGTTTATCAAATTGATGTTCTGTCGGAGGATCTTCGATGAAATCGCTGATTTCTGTCAATACTGACGGAGGGAGTTCTGCCAGCACCATACCATATTTGGCTATTTGGGACTTAATGCCCCGTGCTTCTAGCAACGGTTCAATTACCGCAAACCAAATCCTTGGTTCTGCGAAACCGTATTGGGGTAAACGAAAATCAGTGATGGCATTTATTGTGGCATTTGTCTCGCTATTAGTTGTCTGCTCGTTTGATGTACCGGACTGAGGTGATGACATTATAAATATGAGGTTATTGGTGCAAATTAGGATACAAATATAAACCACACACAAAATCACAATGAATATAAAAATAGCAAAAATAAAAATATAAATATGCCAAAATAATCCGTGTTCTTATCGGGCTCACCAATTAATTTGTAGGGGACTAATATTAGAGTTCACTAACATTCCAAATATAAAAGTAATAATCCAAGTCAGTGGAGTGTTAAATCACAATATATTACCAAAAATACAGTGACGAGTTATAGCAACAAAAAGGATTACTTGGTTATAAAGTATAAGTCCTCGGCTACAAATTAATTATATAATCCACAGGCACGTTAACTGTTTGGACTGCGTCTGCTGTAGCTGCTGTGTTCCGGTTGTAGAAATGTCTTCGGTTGAAAGTAGTAGGCTCCTACAATAAATCCGAAGTATACAACACGGTGTGAGTGGAGCAAGTAAGCAGAAGGGACCAGGGAGAAGACGAAGTCTCCAACAGCAGAGTGTATTTTTCAATTGTACACGGAAGTTATGTATATTTCAACAAGAAGCGTTTTAAACAAAAATTATGTACAATATCTCGAATTTATACAAGTAACCAAAAAGTGTACAATCACATTGTTACGTACTCAACAGGTATATAAGTTCCTTTGAGGTTGTAGATAAACCCTTTAAAATATCTCCAATCACCTAACACCTCGTTCTGTAATATTCAGTTATTTAAAATGTATTGTGTGTTGTAACAGTATAAGGCAATAGAGACCTGGTAACGGAATGTTTATTTGGAATATGATATTTCCAAATAGGGAAATTATGTACACCTTATATGAAAATCATCAGTCACACAGATCTTTTGTGTTGTGCTACTTCTGCCCTTTGTACTGTGCTTCTTTATCTTCTTTTCGTGTCGCACATGTTTCGCCGCAACACTAGTTAATTCCCTCTATTTGACGTCAAATCTATCTCTCCGCTGTTTGATGTTTTTATGCCAACGAACGTCTCTTTATATACGATAGATAAAGCTTGTCAGTAGCACACGCCACAGTATAATACTAGAATTGCGTGTATTAACTCTTAAGTCTTATTTTGATCTATGTACAAGAAGCTTCTTTACGCATGTTGAATAGTAGACAGTTTCCGTTAATGCGCATTTTAGCTGAGGAAAATAAAACAGTCCTACCTGTCTGTTGACAACAATGAGAAAGATTATTCTCTGAAAGAAACCACTTTTTCTGATATACGTGAATCATATGGTTAACAGGAGTTCAAGTATAAAAAATTTACTGCATGTTGTCAACATACAACTAAGTTAGAGGGGTTTAATATTAAATATCTCCCTGCATTTCACAAACAGTGATTGTACGTAGAAATTAAGTTACCAGACTAATTTATTTACACACTGAGTAAGGCATTGTTACTATGGTACAACAATACCAAACAGTATTGGTAGTGTGGTAGAATACAATTCCATGTTAGTTTATGATATGTATCCATATATATATATATGGTGGTCTCTCTTTCTGTTTGCTCGCTTAGTCTGTGACCATTTCACTTGTGTGAACTTGTCTCCTTTAACAATGTATATTCCCCTTATATTATATATAATATGAGTGTTTGTTGACAGTCCGTTGCTTGGTGACATATATCCATATTATATGTGTGGTTGTTGACATGTCTGCTCTATTTTGCTATGTATATATGGATCGACACTCCATTATAATTAGCCATTCATGTTAAGACTGTCTATTGATTTGTCACACACTCGTCTGGACATTCATATATATTTCGCTCTCACAATCTTGTGTGACACTTTTGGTGTGATACCACTTATTGCTTCTCCTGGTGTTTTGGAAAATAGAAGTATCATCGCAAACCTAGTGGTCTTCTGATTTCCGCCTTCTTGCGTCAGGACTATTAAATTCTCGACCAGTACATAGCAATAATTTGGCGACGAGTACATAACAGTTTATTTTATGGGATACAAGGCACAGTGTTACATTGTAAACATTATTGTTATAATTATTAATATTCTAATCACTCAAGGATCATTATAAATCCAAGTTAGAACTGAAATTAGTAAGATATCTTATGATGTATCTCAGTTAGATTTTATTAACTTCGATCAATTCCGGTTGTCAAGTGGACCTATAAAATAATTTTGCCGTTAGTTATTGTGTACGTGTGAATCACATGAATTCTCAACTTAGAAAATTTTCGAAGTAATGAAGCTACATAAATCCATATTTCAAATCGAGAGTGCGCATATTAGAATGAATAATTGTTGAACTTAAAATAATTCTCCGAATTCTTATAACATCACATTAAGAGCCCTTCCCTGCCCACGTATTTCTCCGTCTTATGCATGGGACAAAAACCACAATGTCGATTGGAACTATGTGTGTATTGTGAAAAAATAATATGAACAAATGGAAAGAGAGACTTATAACAGAATCTATATTCATTAAGGTCACACCGGATACGTGTAACAAGGGTGAATCAGTATAACTGTCAACAACCTGGAATATAATCCCGAAGACACAAAAATGAATAAAAATGAATGAATATGAGTACAAATCATATATGTATGATATAAAAAACAAAACAATTCCAACAGTGGTATGAACACGGGCAGTAATTTCGCTCAAAATATTACCAATTACTAAAATTATAGCTGTGTGTAAACTATTGAAATATAATTATACTTTATTTAATTTTTTGCTGTTTAACCGCTATGACTTTATAGGGGTAGGTAATTCCCCAGAATTATGGGCCACAGCATTCATCACTGAGCATCGGATGCTGACTCTCACTGTTTAAGTCAACTTGTTTAGCTGAAGGGTTCAGGTCAAGCATTTGGTACGCTGTCGTGTTGCGTTCGTTCGTTCGTTCGTGCACAATCCCTAGCTAGTTAAGCAATCATCTCGTACTCCGAACCGGTCCCGAAATATAACTCGTGATTTGAACGATCGATTCTGGTGTTTATTTTGCTTTACCTTTGGTCTACACGGAGCGAATACTATAAAAGTTGTGGGTGTAAGATCTTGCGTTAGTATACTTCGTACTATCCGTGAACGTCAATGCCCTTAGCCCCTAAACTGGGGAGTCCTACCACGAACTTCATCTTTGGTAAATACGCAGATAAATCCAGTGAGATAGTTCCACTTTGTATTTGTTCTCATACTATTTTTAAACTATATATGTCACCCTAGGTGGCCATACTCCTTAGGTCATCCGAATTCTATCAATCACCAAAACTAATCAGCTCGTACCATTTTGGCCAGATAATGCAGAATCATGGTCTCAGATGGGCGAGTTTGATTTCAGTGAACATGGGTTAACTTATCAACGTTCACAATTCTTTACGGTTGTCCACGCCCTACAGCGGGAATTCAGCAAATGCGTAACTGTGCATATGTCGAGCCCAGAGGTAAGTAACTCAAATGAGTTGCTTAAAGCAACTCTTCTAAGGAGAATAGTTCTCACGGATAGACAGCGTCTAGACGAATAATTTCGCAACGTGTAGTTAGGTGATCAGTCGGCTGTGAACATGTTCACGAGGATGAAGGAAGTTATCGGCCAACGTTGGTTCGATGAGAGACTTTTCAGAGAACTGTTCTTATCCAAACTGCCACAGTCAGTACAGCCTATGCTGGTGACATTTCAAGGTGTTAGTATAGGCGACTTAGCTAACTCTGTCGATAAAATTCTAGAAATAACAAAACGGCCAGTCACTGAAATATGCTCAGTTTCTGAACAGACTTCGAGTAGGGACACTATAGTGACAGAGTTATGCAACTCCGTCCAGCAGCTGCTTAGGTCAGGTAATCCCGTAATTCCTTCTGTCATCGTCCGAATTCCCTTCAACGGCGAAATCCAAGTGGTTGCTCTAAATCCAAGCCATGTTCACTTAAAAACCCTGACGTGTTGGTATCAGAATAACTATGTTCAGGAAGTGAAATGTTGCAGAAAACCTTTTAATTTTTGCAGTGTCTCAGAGACTTTGAAAAACTATCCCGCCCTCTCTTCCTGGGATATGACAGGAAGAAATTTAAATTGTTTGGTCTTTCCTCGTATGATCAATTAGTCATGCCGAGAATCGTAAGTTTTGCTTTCCTTGAACTTTTTCTAGAATATGTGCGTTAGCTGCAACCGTCGCCGTTGTCACTAGTCACCTACCATACATTCGTGATGTAGCCAACCAAACTCGGTACTTAGTCGACGCAGGCGCCGAAATCAGCGTCCCTCCTGCTACAGCAGCAGATTGACAGAAGGAAACCACCTACAATTTACAGGCTGCAAATGGAAAAACCACTGTTACGTTTGGTAGGAAATATATCTATCTGAACATAGCTTTACACAAACCTATTCAGTGGATTTTCCTTCCCGCTGACGTCACAATGGCCACCATGTTCACGGCCTTACTTAATTATCTTGATTTACTCGTAGTTGTTCGCTGAAAGCGACTGACAGACAGTACTACTAGACTGTCTATTAAAGACATCACCCACGTATGCCGTAGCCTTTCACTCGTTAAGAAGAAGGCAATCTTTGATCAACTTTCTGGCCGACTGTTGATAAGTGCCCGGAACTCAATTGAACGTCTAACGATCTACCGTGCATAGCCAGCAATGTTATGCATCACATTATAACCTCAAGGCAGCCCTTGACATCTAAAGCTCCAGACAAATGACAAATACTCACCCTTGACATCATTCGGTATTCGAATAGCCCATAGTCATCCCTTTTCCATGCGGTACCATGAAAATACAACAAAGATTGGTGACCCACCGGTGATCACCGGCGAGTGCACGCCAAAACAACTCCTGATTGCTATTCACTGCCTTACATACACGACTCGACGGCAAAATTATCTGCTGCAACTATTTTCCCGGAAACAGACCTGGTTAAAACGTGTAGCCAAACCCCCATGGCACCAGAAGATATTCCAAAATCGGCTATCATTACGTCTTTCGGACTTTTTCAGTTTCTACGTATACCATTCGGAATCCGGAATATACCATAAACATTCTAACGCTTCATCAATGAAGTATTTCTCGACCTCGAC